GAGCGTCTGGGGTCATTACACAAGTTGCAAGTTCTGCAAGGGATAACACATTTGTACTCCCTGAATGCTTCATTTATTTAAGTGTGTTAGTGCAATTTGTTCACTTGACTACATGTCTACCTATTTGTTCATTTACATGACAGCGCAGAGCTTCCTGTCAGGAATGTTTTTGTTCTCTCTTACCATGCTTCCAGCATTCAAATTTGCTGAGCAGACAGAGCACACCAGTGCAGCAGAGGAAGAGAGGGGAAGGAGAGTAAGCAGACTGGAGTAAACAACGCTTTGGCTCTTTAAATAAATTATTTGTTTGTGATTGAGGCTTTGTGATGTGAACAGCATGACCTGTTTTACTGGGAAGCTCTTAACACTCAGCTCGTCGCCCTCACAGAAACAGATCCCATCTCTCTACCCACAGACTCATGGCTCATTCATATTCTATGAGAACAAATTTTTTTGACAACTTGACTGATAGATTTGTACAAGGCCCAAATGTTTTCTTTTTCTGCACAAGCCACTGCCTGAGTGGCAAAAACTGGTGTTAATAAAAATTTCAACAATACATGGCAAATAAGATGTGTTTTCCCCCGCCTGTCTGTTAACATGGTACAATCAAGAGCAAATGGTGCTTGTTGAGGGGTTCAAGGGAATATGGGAGCTGTCTGAGTCAACAGTGAAGAAAGCAGGATTGGGAGGAAAGGAAGCTTACGGTACTTTATGATGTGTTGCAATATGAAGAGAGGAACAGTTAAAAAATTACAAGTGTTAACCAGACTGAAAATTATGTAACCCATAGTGTCTCCAGTCGTACAACTGAAGGTAGAAGAAAAAGAATCTACCAGCAAATTTCAATTAACAAGTTACAGTGAAAAGTTGTGAAACAAACAGACACAGTGTTGTCTAGAAATATCAACTCCATATAAAAATAAAGATGATGTGATATGATAACCATATATGTTGCAGTCAGATATAGATGTACTATAGATCTGCTATTCAGCGTGATATTGAAATAGCAAATTAATGTTAGAAATTTGACAAAAATATTTAACCAATATGATGGTGGGTTAGTGGTCGAGCTGTTTCTCTCAAACCAAAGTTGGGGTCACAGTCCCCACTGTCCACATCCTTGGACACATAACTCCAAAACTGACCTTGATCATATGATATAATACAAGGACTCGAACAAAAACTCCTGAATTTCATAGCAGAAAGCTTCTTTGCAAATCTCTGATCCAAACCAGTCCACGATCAGAACTTCTGACTGCAGCATTACTGTTACATTTGTCTACACTGACCATGCAGCCTGTCTTAAAGCACCACAGCCCGATTTCTACAACCCATCAAAAGTAGCTTCAGACAACAGGAACCTTTCACTGTATGTTGACAAGCAGAGGTCACATAGACAAAAGAAAAGCACAGAAGCTCATAATATACTAAGACATTTTTAAAGAAAGCTCCAAAAATAGTTTCATTTGACTTTTTAAAAAACTTCTTGGCACTAATAACAAGGCAGACAGATTTTATCAGACTCACAAGGTGCACAATTTGCTCCCAACACGTGCATATAACCATTAGGTAACTGCAAATTTAGATTCCACCTCACTTCCTCATAGAGGAAACTGCCCACACGACTTAGAAGTTCAGCCCACAGGCCTTGGACTCAGCAGAGACTGTAACACTACTGTCTTCAGTTCAGGTTTCTGTCTCTGCTGACCTCTATTTACAGTAGTCTAATCTGCTGAGTCTTTCCTGCTCTACACTAACTCTGTTTTTTTTTAACAGCTTGAGCAACCCATTGTCTCATAACCTTCATTTTATGCCATTTTTGCTTCTGCTCGCTAAAAAAAATCATGCAAATAAGTGGTCACCTGATTATTTTTCTTCACCCTCATCTTCATACGAATTTGGTGGAAAAATATAGCTGACATAAGTTATGCAGCGACATGAAATAATAAAGTCAGTAGATGTACAAATTAGCATTCACAGCAGATATCACCTTTGAAATTTTTAGGAGGAAAACAACCACATTAAAGGCACTATGAGGAGTTTTAACTTGTTATGAAACAGACTGACACTGATACTGATGTCTCTATATGACTCCAAAAAGTGAACGAGACTTTTTACAACTAGTCTGATTATTACACTTCATTACTTTTTAACACTTAAAAACACAGTCAGAAGGCGGTTGTTAGACCAGCAGGCTAAAAAAAAAAAAAAAAAACATTTGACAATTTATACATGAAATACTCACAGTAAGGGGTAAAATTCATTGTTTAAGGACAACAAAGTTTTTGTCTGAATAGACAACTTTATTATGTACAGGTCAAGAGAAAAGAGGTATTACTTTGTCCACGGGAGGTGCTGAAACCAATACAAACTTAAAGTTCACAATCAGGATTTTTGAAGCTAATTACCAATTAGTGAGTTCAAATAAACCAATAATTACAATCTGATCGCAAAAGGCAGCAATATGTCTACTTGAATAACTTGTTTATTTTCCCGTATACATTTAAGTCCTGCATTCAAAATAAATATTCTTATGCATTTTTGACCATGTTTGACAATTTTACCCCAAACTGATGGAGATGAAAAAGGTCAGACATCAAAGACCTCTAGTGGGTATTCATGGCTCTCAACTTTGGAATACACATCCCGGTGTGGCTTAGTTAGACCGGTATCCCTACAGTGTGTGTGTCCTGGTAGGAGATAGCACCAATCAAAGTGTGCCAGCAAGTGTTGGAATACAGGGTTCTCAACAATATTAAATAGCAGGTTAGGGGTGGGGGGTCCTGTCATGCCATGATCGCAAGAGTACTGGATCAGGAGAAGGCCATTGCAAAGGTTTTATCAGATGATCGAAAAAACTGGCATCTATTGGCAGGACATTGATATCTTGGAGTCTGTCTAAAGGCCCTAAATCCACTTTACTGATGCCCTTTCTGGAGAAGCATATGTCAATGTCTCTTGTGTGAAACCTGTCCTTCAACGTCTTCAACGGGAGGTCTTGAAGCCAGAAGATAGTCACACAGATCTTACCAGGGCCATCAACAGTTTAGTCACCACCACCTACTTGAATGAACAATTTGATGCTGCTGCCACTGATGACCTCCTGTGCATGGCAACCCTTGTTGATCCTCCCTTCAAGGTCCACTAAATCCAGGCTGACAAAGTAGAGGCTGTGAGGGCCAACGCTGACTCTAAAATGTTGGACAAATGTAAGACATCATGGTCTAGGTCTACTACCTCAGCAGAAGCAACTTTAGCTACATCAGTGAAAGTACAGAAGAAGACACTTGGGGCCCAGTGCCTTGGAGCATTTGCCCCGTGGCCTTAATTATAACCATCAGGCAAAGAAATGTATTTTAGTAACATTTTGATGATCATTCATAAAAGGAGCATAATGTAACATAAGTTTAGAAAGAGATACTCGTAGTATTCAAAGTACAGTTTCAGGAAATTATGAAAAAAACAAACAAACAGATATTAGGGCTCAAGAAAAGTAAGGATAAAGTTGGTCTTGAATCTGGATTTACCACATGCAGTCCAGAGAAATGCTGAACTGATTATCAACAATTTGATTATAGTTAATAGACAGGTAACAGATTTTCAAACTAGCTTGCAAGGTAGGTCACATGTTGGCTTACTTTCTTTGTAGGTCAATAGGTGGGTAATCTTTCTATAAGTTCTCCGACTTCAAGAGCAGCTGTCAGTGGTCATTTTGACCTCCAGTTTTAGACCCTTTCTAACAGTAGGACCATCAGCATTACAGCACCATAAAATGACTTGTCAGACTGTCTTGATTCACTGTTTTTACCCAAATGGATATCAACAATACATTTTTTGATTAAGGTACAAGCAATTCTGACCAAATAGATAACATATTACAAAGCGCGGAGCGATTGGCAAATTTATCAATGTCTCATTGCAATGTCTCTAAAAATATACTCTAAAATAACTTAAAAAAAGGAGGGTGTCCTGTTTTTTTTTATTTTCTTTGCATCCACCTGAAGAACTTCACATGAATTCACACTGTAACAGCAGCTTCAGGTTGCTCTGTTGAGATAATACTCTTGGAAATGTCATCTTCTTCTTGTTCCCTGGGTTTGTGTAAAATTCCGATTAGCTTGTCTGTTCATACTATTGTAGCCTTTTTATATCTTTACTCTAGTCTGATTTAATGGTGCGGGAGTAACTTAAAAGTCACTGACCTACAGTTTCCATGAAGTCTTTAACCAGCGTCAGCATGTGATGGAGAGAAAGGAGCCTGCTGTGAGTCAGACAAAAGTAGACTTAGTCCTGGCATCGCTCTTCTCTAAAATGATGCCTGTCCTCGGCTGAACTGAAAGTAGTTACAGGCCAGGCATGTTAAGAACTTATTGCAGCTTGGAGGTGAAAGGATGGAGGAAGGAGGAAAGAATTTGAAGGACAAACAACTGAGGATTTACAAGAGCAACCTTCATGAAAGTCCTCTCACAGTGTTATTTATAACCAGCTAAGATCAAATAAAGTCTTCAACTTGTGTATAAAAAACAAAATACTGAGCACAATTCTCACAAAATCAATAAGACTAATTTCAACCGGATTGGGAACAGTGGCAAAAAGGCCGGATGGCAGCTGATTGTTTCCATTCAAGTTAATGTGTCAATTCCGGCCGGCTTCCTTCTGTTTCACTGCGGCTCAGTGGACTCTGCAGCCGATCGCCAGGGTTCTATTTTTTCAGGACGCCGCAGCATGCCATATAAATTCAGTACAGATTAACACGTGCTGGAAGGGAAGTCAGGCACAGACACAAAATGAAACATTCGGCTTCTTTTCAAAATAAAACACTACGTGCTTTTCGTGCTTCGCCGGAGACGTGGCGTGGCGTATGTCAGGTCCACCGCGCCGACAAGGCGTTCCCAAGCACAATCGGTATTTTGGTGAGCGGCGCAGCCCGGCGTAAGTATCCCCCCTCCCTAACTCAGCTCCTCCCAGCGGCATGAGTCGTAGCGGGGGAGGAGAGAGGGCGTGGAGTGGGTTTAACACAGCCAAGACCTGTATTGACCAATAACATCAGCTCCTCTCCTCGCCTTTAACTCCGCCACCGGCGAGGCTTATTACTATTTTCGTGAAGTAGTCAAAGAGATCAAGAGATGTCTGAAGACAGTAATGCCACAAGATGGCGACAGAAGGCAGCTCCTCAACAAGTGTCACTGTAAGCGCTGCATTGGGCGTCCTCCACACTCTCTCATATGACCACAGATGAATTTGGTGTGTGTAATGTTGGACTCACTAGTAAGACAAATGCCCTTTTCCACAAATAAATACACCCACATAAAGTTGCACATATTCAAACCTCACGTGACAAAGGTGGGTTGTGCGCACAGATCCCAACATAAATTCCAATAATGGCATTAAAATCTGAACCATCTGTGCGTAAATGACGCATCGCGCTCCGTGGCCTGGCTCTTTCTTTCATAGATGTTGGCATATAAAATAAATTTGGCTCACAAAACTGAATATTATAATATCCGTATGTAGGTTTAAGGTAAATAACTCATCTGAGCACTGAAACAAATCATCTGTTCAGCCGCTGCAGGACGGAGAGAGGACACGGAGACATGTCCAGGTCGAGCTGCGTGAGAAATAAGAGGAAGATAGAAAAGGAGGGAGACGAATCACATATCTTGTTAACTTCATCATGTGTTTTTATTTACTAGATATTTAATTTAATTTAATGCGGTTTCAGCTGTGTTAATTCGGTCAGGTTGTGTGTCCAAACGCGTGCCAAACACGCTCATTAGATCAGATGTAGATCAGAATATATCGATATAGATCTAAATGTATGTGCTGACTCAGATTATTAGTTGTTGATGATTATTTATTGCACTGAAATGTGCCTGACACTGTGGAAACCTGCCGGTGAGGCATCGGTGACATATGCCGATACGCCGCCGGTCTATCAAAATACCACTGGACCAGCTGTGCTCCGCCTGCGCTGAAAGCTGACCAGGTTTGAATCGGCGAGCTTTCGCGCAATTTATATGCCACCAGCGAGCACGAAAATGTCACTGCGCCCGCTGATTCTGTCGGCACCTCCCCCTGCCACGCCACCACGCCCAGCTTGGTGGACCTCGGTGCGCCTCAGCCCACAAAAATAACAAACTGGCTGTATGCCATGCCCCGCCAGATGAAAAGACCACTGCGCGGGGTCCGCCACGTCCCCAGGGAACATGAAAATAGAGCCCTACGTGTTTCAGGCGGATTGTACTTCACACCATGCAAACATGTGCAGAGATGAACTAGTGAAAGGTTTTCAGACTTCATTTCACCCCGATGACACCATGGATGAGGAGATGCTGATTGTAGAAGTCTAGAAGTGTATTTCCTCCTCTGAAAGCACACAATCTACTGCTTATATACACATATATATTATATATGTGGCTGTCTTTATTGAGACAACTCGTTATCACGCGATAGCATGTGAATCCGCGGGTTTCTGTGAGTTCTTGCGATTTCTGCTGTATGAAATCCACCATGAAAGTCGCCTCACAAAGGCATCTAGTATTGGTAATACCACATGTGGTAAATCCGGAATTGGCGGATGGCGAAAATTGCCGCTGTTTCGCAGTGGAGCTGTTCCGAATGCAGTGGAAATTGGGGGTATGGATCGCTCCTGATTTTTAAGTCCGATTTGTTATTTAATCATACGCTTATTTAAACATGCTTATGAGCATTAAATGCTTTTTTGTTTGTTTCTTAAACTGTCTCTGAGCTCCATCATGCTGTAGGTTCCTCTGGATCGCTGCTTCAGAAGTTTAGCTACCATTGACCTGCCTGCTTTCCAGCTGCTTTATAGCTACAAGCATCAATTTTACCTCTGTCCATTTCTCTCTTTCTGCATGTCCCTCTCTCCCTTCTCTTAACCCAGTGCAGTAGAGGCAGATGACTGTCTGACATGAGTCTGTTTTTTCTCAAGGTTTCTGCCTGTAAAAGGAAAGTTTACCCTGCCACTGTAACTTGCTAAATTAAATGTGGAGCAAACAATTCAATGTAAGTCCTTTATTGTAATAGAAAGTTCAAACAAATTCTTCCATCATGGCCCACCCTCAAAAACCCATTGCCTCACCAGCTACTTTCCTCTGGCGCCGGGGCCACACACACACACACACACACACACACACACACACACACACACACACACACACACACACACACACACACACACACACACACACACACACACACACACGCCTCTCTGTCTCCCCTTTGTGCTGCAATAATTCACCATGTGCATATTAGCAGGACAACAGTTGTCTTCAGGAGTGTTGTTATTGATGCTATCAGGCAATCAGTGAGTAAACAGACTCTCTTGGCAGTGTTTGCTGAATCAGGGCTGTATGATTATGTGATATACAGATTTATGATGTTAAACCAGGTTATATTTGGCAAGAATATCAATATGCTGGCCATTTTGATTGATAGATCCATGGATTTAACCTGCTTGGAAGCATCTCTAACAGTTTTTATCAACCTATTTAAACTAATTCAGCTCTGTTTGAGTATATCTAATCAATTCATTTTGATATATTTCAAAAACTTTATGCATCAACACAAAGCGAGGCAGACCAACAATGATGACAGATAAAACACAAATGAGGCTTTTAAATTCTTTTAAATTCTATGTTATACTTAACTTAACGAAGCTACACTTTCTGCAGAAGCATGGTTGTTTCCCAGGCCTAGTAATGACTCAAAATGACCCTTTATTGTGAAAAGGCTTATGAATATTTACAAATATACTAAACAACATCAGGTACAAGGTAAGCATCCTTGGGCATGACACTGGACCCCACATTGCTTTTGGTGACACAGTGAGCTGTTTGTGAATGCACATCAATAGAAATGGTCCATCCTTGTGCTAAAGCAACCTGTGCTGTAGAGGTATGAACGCATTGTGAACGGGTAGATGTCTTGACAGGTGTAAAAGCATTTTGAGTGGTCAGAAAGATTAGAAAATCACTCAACATGTACAAGTCCATTTACCATTCACCTTTTATCAACACTCATTTTTGAATTAAGATGAAAAAAACACAATATAAAATGTTTTTCCCTGCCTGTATTATGAATCCAAAATTGTTTCAGGCACATAGTTTTTTTTTTATTAAATGTGATTCATTCAAAGCAGGTTTTGAGGGTCTCAATTTAAGGTTGTTGTGACTAATTATGTCAGGAAAATGTATGAAAATAGTTTGGAAAAAAGGGCAGGATTTTGACTTGTTCATGTTTTTTGTTGGTGTCCATTTAATCCAGAGGTAGTCCAATAGAAAAAAAGGGGTGAAAAAAGAAAAAAAACTACAGATAACAAAAGGTGTCCATATATGCCTGCTAACTTAAAATGAGAGCACTTAACACTCAGGAGTGATACATCCAAGAAACAGGAATTCAATAAAGCCAGCTGCCCCCTCAGGGGGCACATTAGTATTGTTGCAAGCCAGGTTAATGTACTTCAAACAAGGTTTATTATATACTGCGGTGCATGATTGTGAGGTTAGGAGTGTGGTGGACTTGTGTTGTGGGTAAAAAGGGATGCTGAGCTCTCCTCTCAACCTTTTTTCAACCACAGTCTCTGGAGCACAGGCTTAAAGGTCAGATTTTGGATGCCGGCCTGGGGGGAACTCAAACTATTTTGTTGACAGGTCACCGACATGTCTGTGCTCTTATTAGGCTTTATCGGTGAGAGACACAGAGAATAGAGCCACCTCTACTGCCACGACATGCAATGCCCATCATGGCCAGTCACGAGCTGTAAAAGCACCACCCCTCTAGAGCCACTGCAATGGACTTGCCTTTCTCGTTATTGAAATTTCACAGTGAACAGTAACGAACAAATTTCAAAGAAAGACTTGTGTGCCGGCACTTGAAGGTTTAATAAAGAAAAGGGGAAAACATAAAAACTTATCCTAAAGATGTCAAACAAAAAGACACCAGGAAAACCACAAGTACAAAGTAAGGGTTAAAGGAGGTGCTGTAACGCTGCCACAGATATACAACAAAACCAGAGAATAAGACATGGAGTATGCACATAAAACTCCAGCCTTGTAAACGAACACATTCAGAAGAAGAACTGACATCATCGGTTCAGGAAAGATGCGTCTGGGTTGTAAACACAGAAACGCGAGGGTGTCATCTTTCGATTTGCTCACTCTAGGACATGGTTTCAAAAATTAGCGTATTAAGGGCCTGATCTACTAAAGGTTTGTGTGTGCAAAAACAGGTGCAAACTTGATAGCACACGAAAAGCTGATCTACTAACCGGGTGCACCGAGTATTGCGCCTGTCAAATTAGTAAAACAGCACATGCAATCGAGTTAGCGTGTTTGCCTTCATAAAATGTGCAGATTGTATGTAGATCATCAGAACGAGCAAACTTCTGGGAGGAGCAGATGCAAATAGAATCATTTAGCACCCGCAATGTGATGTATCACGCCCGGAAACCAATTGCGGTCACTGTTTTGTGTCAATATTTGGCACGTTTGAAAGGCACGTGCAAACTGGCACAATATTACACACAAATAGCTGCAGTCATTGCAGGTAGAAGGAGGCAAAAGTACAAAAGCGTTTTTCTAGTGAATGACAGTTTTGATGAATAATTAGGTCAAACACGTAACAGTCGCAAAAATTTATTTCTTTGTCTTATTGATTTTAAATTGTCTGGATCTTTTTTTCATTTCTAAAATATTTTCTTGCATTTGTAAAGCACTTTGAATTGCCTTGTGTATAAATGGTTCTAGACAAACACACTTCCCTTGCCTTTTATGCAGTTGCTGGCTTCCCCAAAATGATGGGTGCAACTCCACGGCTTCAGGCTTATTGTTTAATCTACGATCACTCTACTCTCACAAACTCTCCATGGTGACGGCCGATAGCGCACACAAAATCCTTGGTTTAAAGAGGGTGGGCGCAATGTTATTAGCCCACCCGCAACACGCCTACTAATAGCAGTTTTTTTTCTTTGCACACGCTCTTTAGCGCTCTTTATTTGGGATCTTAGTAGATCAGGCCCTAAGGCTCCTAAAACACTGGCTCTGAACAATAAAAAACTTTTGTGGATACACATAAATAAACTCAGCTCTTTGTGGACATGGTTTAGTACACACTGAGTGACGAGCTATGAGATACAGGTGAGACAACAAGGCGTCGCTGCAGACACAGGAAGTAGAAAGTAAAACAGGAAATACTAAAAGCTTACCTTAAGAATAAAACAGGGAACACACACACACACACACACACACATCCCCTCTGGAGTTACCCGTCCCACTTCAGGCCTGGCATTTAAAAGGTCTGAGGGGACTGAAGCCCATCAATATTGCAAAGGAAGGAAGTAGGCTGGTGGTGTTGGACTACGGCCTGAAGCCTAAACAACTGTCACTGTGCACAGAAAGGGAAGTGTAACAGGGGTTTAGATTTAAGGATGCACTTTACCATTGCTGTTGAATAAATAATGAGAGAATAAATGGTTGATGGCACATCCCAGAAAAAATCACTAGTATAGGGAGTCTATACATCTAATGATGATCCAGACTTGTCCTAGAGTCTGGTAAGTCAATCAATCCACATCACCACAGGTCTTATTGAACTTGACAATGGAGCATGTGAAGGTCCCCAAAGCTGATCATATTCTTCGACAATAGTCTTCTAGCATTGTGCGCATTGGTAGTAAACAACAACAACAACAACAAGAATGTAAGCTCTAGCTCAAAGGGATGGAGACATTACCTTTATTTCAATTATAATGTTCTGCTGAATATGACTGACTTTGAACACAGCAGGGATGCCAAAGCCCTGCAAGGTTTTTCTTCATTATGCTATAGTACCTCAGAGATGGCCCACAGTGCTGTAATAAAAGACCAATGAACACTGCACATCCTGTATTGATTTGTTTGCTGAATATCAGAGTGATTTTTCAGATGTATTTATAATGGCCTTATTAAAGCCCCCTTTGATCTGAAGAATACAACAATAACAGAATTGTATGTGTTGTTTGCAACCAACATCCACTGTGGTAAAAATGCCAATACTAACTTTGTTCTTCCACCGTTATTTCTTTTTTGTCTATTTTCCCTTTTGATCATTAAATGGTATTTCAAAAAAAGGGGGGGTATGCAAAGCTGTCAGTCCAACCGTCTGCATCACATATGTCTGTTTTTGTAAGTGAATTATTCTTTTTGAAATACAAACAGCTTTAATTTTTTAAAGGAAGGCTGCATGCATATTGCCTCAAAGACTGTCAGCTGTTGACACTGATAAAAGAAAAAGGAATTTGTGAGGATTTCAGAGCTCGGCGCTGACATCGGGGGAGATTATTTGGAGATGACTCTGAGGTGTTGAGGTTAGTGATCTACTGAACTAAAGATTATTGTGAGAGGGTTTCGAAGGAATGACTTTGTCTGTCCTTACAGTCCAAAAATATGTGCTCCAGGGTTGCACATTATCTGTTTTAAAAAGTAATCTGCCTGATTGATGATAAAGATGGACATTTTTACTGAAAGGCTGTTTTAAGCTCTTATGAAGAGTTGTTAGCAGGTTAGGAAATTGTTACTAATACATCTAACTCCAAAAAGCTAAAAACAGCAAAACGACAAGACTGGACAAACGAATATGAACAAAGCTGTACAGCATCCATAACAGCTACAAAAAGACCGTATCCGCTGATTGCAGCTGATTGTAACCATTCAAGTTAAGTTAATTTTGTGTTTCGGGGGGATTGTATTTCACACCATGCAAACAGGCAGGGACGAAAAAGTGAAAGGCTTTTAGATGGCATTTCACCCCGATGACACCATGGATGAAGAGATGCTGATTCTAAAATCTAGAAGTGGATTTCCTTCTCTGGGAGGACACAATCCACTGCTTATATGGTTATGTGGCTATAGAGACAACTTGTTATCACTCGATTGCACGTGAATCTGCAGGTTCTTGTGAGTTCTCGCGATTCCTGCTGTCTGTAATCCGGTACAAATGGATCTGGTAGGGATTGGCGGAAGGTGAAAATCACCGCCGTTCCAGATCGAAACCATTCCGGATGCGGTGGATATTTCGGGGTAACACTGACTAATGTAGGTCGCTTTCACACCCAAAAGTCTGGACCATGGTCAATGGTAAGAAATGATACATTGTTGCAATTCAGTTTTGGTCCAGTCTATGGTTATACTTCCATTCGTCAAAATGTACTTTATTTGTAAACAAATCACATGCAGTCTACAGGTTGTTCAGCTATTGGTCCGAAAATTTGTTAGGGAAAATCACAATGACAGCTATTATATTGAAATGGCGCTGCAACCAGGACAGATGGAGACATGTGAACCATGACCATAGACTGTATGACATGATTCTGAGGACACGTTACCAATGAGAAAGTGGGTGCCTATAATGTGTTTTCTGTGTATTTATAGCTCAGAAGATGAGTAAGTTTTTAACATTAAGTGAATTCTAGCCAGTAGACCAAGGGATGAGAAGTGACTCATTAATGACTGCAGTATTGATTTCCGACGTGACCAGTCCTTTTGCCGGTAGTTTATTCCGATGTTTTGGTGTGATAAATTATAACGCGTCAGCTTCCTCCTCCTCTCTGTCGCATTGCTAGCGCTCACAGACCCTCCGCTTCCTATTCTCTTAGCTGGTAACACACATCTGTCTTCAACCCATGATGCCCTGCTGTTTTGGTTTGCCTCCTGTATTTGGTCCTATTAAAAGTCTGGTTACGTTCTCACCTGAAGCAAACCAGACCATGGTTCACTTTGAACTACACCTAGTCACGACTTTTTGGGGGGACCATGGTCCGATTGTTTGGTCCAACAAAAGTCTGGACCGTGGACTGGGGGAGTGTTCACACATGAAATTTTGGTTCGGATCAAACTGAAAAGTCTTTCAAGTCCAGACCAAACAAGGCTAGTGTGAACGCGACCTTAAACTTTCACCAAGGAGCAGTAAATTGTGAAAGATCAATAGAGTGTGTGAGCAAAAACACATAATAACATAAAAGAAAAAAAGACTTTCCTGATTGGGGACAATGATATTATACACTCCTCTATCACTTGACCTGGAGTGACAGCAGGATCGGCTCAGCAGGTAATGAAAGTTGACATGGGGATTGAATCATTGCATCAGTATGCATTAACTCACCATGTTGCTGACATAGAGCAATTTTTTTAGTCATTTCAGTTTACATTTAAAGCTGAACTGCTGGCTTGTGTTTATGTTAAAGTAAATTCTCAGTTTGCAATAAAGTGACTGTACTGACAAGATGCAGTACATCAAGTCAGGACAACCAGTTTACACAAAAAACTTGGAAGAACATAGTAGAAACCTGAAGTACGTTTTTGGACTTTGGTACATACGAAAATCCATTCTTAAGGTTTTAAGAACAAGTCCTTTTTTTGTCAGATTGTCCTGTGGTGTGAGGTGTCTGGAGTGATTCTCTGCCCTTTGATCTGCACTAAAGACCACCCGGAATTGTAAATATCACACATGGACAGTATTTTCGATCAGACAGCCTTACCCCAAATTTCCACAACATGTGGAATGGCGGTGCTACAGGTCACCTGCTAATCTTCTGCCTGAGGTTGCCGGTTTGAGTTCTTCTGGATAAAAAAAAACTCATCTTATTAGCCAAGTCTACAAGTTAACAACAGGTCATACTCCTGCAGTGTGGACAGAACAACAGATGGTGATATTTTCTGATGAAACTTTCTTTATTGATTTGTCTGTCTAGTCAGGGACACAAAGTTCTATTGAATTTCACAAAGGTTTAGGTCTTTTTGAAAGCATTTGGGGTTTGGGGCCTGTTGGCCAGCCATCTGCTCTGGAGGTGCATCAAGCACAAGTTTAGTGCACTACAAGAACTTATGTGTGCAAACATAAATGGGCTTTTCAACAGCATAGAAAAACTTCCATATGGAGCGTACACTCCACACATCCATGTTTGTGTCGGTGTTTCATGAAATAAGCTGAATCAAGAGGTAGAGCTGACCCCATGCACCTGTTTTTTCAAAAACCACAGTGGCTGTTTATTTCCTAAAGTTAGGAGCTTGATACGCACTGCAGGCTCTGATAACTTTGAGAAAATAGTGCATTTCAACTCTAAGAGAACAAAGAGCATCGATACAGTACATTTAAATTGTGAAATGAAAATAACATTAAGGCTAATATCAGATCAGAGTCTTGATGTTTTCTCCAGATATCTTGCAAGACTTGTTTCCAAAGCAGAGCGGCTCTCCATTGACCTTCTTAAGCTGCTTGTGTATGGGCAGTGCCAGCCTAAGATCCACAGACAGAAAAAAAGAAAAAAGAAATAGTCATCTTTGTGCCGACAGTCTGATGCTGCTGGACCTGTCACATGCTGCTACCTCATGAAAATGAATGATACCATAAACTTGTCTGGCCTAAATGAAATGCATGTGTGAAGGAAAAAAGGAGGACTTGTGTTCATGCAGGCTGGGAGTGTACTGTCATTTCCACTTTGCTCCCTTTCCGGCCTTGTCTTCAAGTCCACACCCTCCACGGGCTTCATGTGCAGAAAAGTGTGCGTACAGTCGGGAGTTCACTCTGAGGCCAAAGTGGGTTCCTCCTAACAGTGATGTTGATCCTTCCTCCTACCCTCCTTTAAAGTCAACCCAGGGTGCCATGTGACATCCGGATGTGCAAAGTCCAACCGTTTCTATTGCTTCAGAGGCTGCTGTTCATGTGTTATTTTTTTTCATCCAGGCAGCCTACCATACTGATTTTACCACACTAAATGAACAAACTCAATGTTAAAGAGAAGAAAGCGTGGGTGTGTGTTCTCACAAATACATTTTTTAATATGGATTACATTACTCCTCTAACTTTCAATCAACATGAGATAGAAAAAAGAAGGTGAAAGGGGTTTGTTGTGGCAAAATGGGATGGATTTGTCCTTTCTTTCCCTTTGCTGCATGTTAAATCAAGTTCAACCCAACAACAAAAATACAAACAATTGTCCATTCACGAAGATATTCCTAGGTCCTCGGTCTAATTTCAAGCTTCTTGTGACTCATCAGCTCCTTTCTATGTCGTACATCACTGCAGTACTACTGAAAGAGAGGTCAACCAGCAGGCGTCAGTGGTGAAGGACATGGAAGTGAGCATTTTGTGGTTGATGTTGTTGAAACACACAGCCTTTGTTTGCTTCCAAAACCGAGAAAGTTGAACTTCCTATTCGTGCAAGGTCTTACTAAGACCCCAGAGAGCCCAGCATTTGTCCTCAAAAGCTAGGGTCTGCTTTATAAAATACACCTATCAACCAATAAACATGTCAAATGTTCAACGCACATTAAGGTGAATGGAAATGATTGGAAGAAAAGTTGTTCAAAACTTGCTCTACTTACTCCAGGTTTGAATAAGACAGAGAAAGAGAAGAAATAGCTTGTGTTGGACTTAATAGTTCTGAGAAAAATAATATATTTTCAAATATATATTTATGAGTACACAAAGTGTAAGAGTGCTGGACATTTAGAAGAACATGTGAGAACATTTGATGCAGACTTTAGGCCAAAATGAGTATTTTTAGCACGTCTGCAGCTTCTGGCAGTGTGAGTGTATACAGAGCAGTAAGCTATTAAAGGATGCACTTGAAGCATGTGACATTTAGCAGCACACAGTAAATTTGTACCAGACAGAATATTCATGCCTATCCCTCTGGTCCCACAAAATGCATTTTAGTCCGAGATAGTGAAGCCCCCTATTTACTTTCAGCGGGGTGAGAAGAGGAGAGCTATAATAACTGATTGAAATGTAAATGTAGGCTAGCTAAATGAAGTATAAGGGCCAGCAAGCATGCAGAGTGGAGATATGAATTATAATCTGTCCGACAGTTTTTTTCTTGTCGGACATTATGTAAATGGAGGTACAAGTGACTAGTAGTATTTGGAACCAAAATTGATGCAGTAGGCGATAAGTGAGAGTGGTTGACAGAGTGGTTCTGGATTTCCAGAGATGTTTTAAATTCAGGGCTGATAATTTGATCATGTAAAGTATATTCATTACATAAGGGACCCCGCATGATAAAAGTAGACTTCAGTCTGTAAAGTTAAAACTGACAGCGGCTAATGATTTAAAACTTAATGTTCTTGTTGTGGAAAATTTTCTGATAAGTTGAATTTACAACTCATCTTTTCAGAAAAATAAATATCATAGCTGTGTATTTTGTGTGTTAACTTTCATCATAAAATAGACATTCCTCTCTGTATTGTGATTTTCATTCCTCCTGTTTTTTTTCGATACATGGCGTTGACTTGACAGGAGGAGTGTCAGGGGGATTAATCAGGGTGGACTGGCCTGGCCTGCACCCATCCCAGTTTCCCTCTGTAAACAATAGGGGTGTGTATTAGTTTAGAAACAATGTGTTTATTTGAAAAGCCCGCTTCCTGTATGGACTCAGCAAGTTTCCCATTAATTATATTTGCGGTGGCTCCAGTTCTGAAGATCATTGTTCAGAGGGGTAAAAAAAAACACGCCGAGCAAAAAGGAACACTTTGCATCAGCACTTGGTTCCTGTAGGATGACAGCAATAATAGAATTAGTGGTAGCTTTTTGTGTTATTTTTTAATCATCTGCAGCAATCTTACAGTAGGTTAACAGGAAAAAATCAAATGAGGAAACACTTAAATGTTTTTGTTGAGTCTGCTTTGCTGCTGCATGCCCTTTGTGTTGAGTTCTCCAGTTCATAAAAAATAAAAGCCAAACACAGTTCTTTTTTTTTCCTTTTTTTTTTTTTAATAATTAGTCTTTACTGCCATAAGCTGTCTACAGAGTCTGCCTGCAGGGACAAAGACTCCGGCTGTGGAGCCCAGGAGCAACGCCCACCATCCCTAACTGCCCAAAGCCATATCCTGTCCAAAAAGACACAACTTGCACTTTCTCCTCAGGAGGAACACATGTGATCTCAATCGCACATGAAGCAGACCCGCAGCAGGATTCGCAACTCGCAGTCTTATTCAGCATAACCTACAGTACACATGTTCTTTAACTTTGGTTCGTCTGGTGGATGAAAAGGCATTAAGAATAAGCAGCGCAGCCTTAGCCCATCCAGATGCATGCTCAGAGGCCACAGAGTAACAGGTAAACTCTTGGGAGGGTGGTTAAGCCCTAGTTAGGCATGTAAATCCCACCCTTTATAGGAAAAGCGCTCCAGTAGATCCCTGTCAATTTCCCGCAGCTGTGCTTGGGCAGATTTACATGAATACTCTCTATCACTTGCGCTTATCCCCCAGTGTTATACATTTACTCATTTTGGGGTGGGTTTTAAAATTGGTTATTTAACTTTCTTGTCTTCTGTAGAGAGTGAATGGTTTTATTTACAAGCCACAGGGCAAGGCTTCTTTTGTAAATTGATTCCTCAGTTTTGTCCACCAGCCAGGCACAAGAAGGTTAGCTGCCTGTTTCCTGATAAGCTGGCAGAACATATCAACCCCCACGTAAAGATAGTGCTCTGTATTTCTGTCATGCTTTATCATCAGCTGGTGTGAAACTAAACCGGTGTTAAGCGAGAGTAGAGGGACCATTTCCCCGGATTACAGGCGTCAACTTTAATTTCAAAGACCAATGGTGTATCCAGGGAAGGTGCAGGCTTCACTTGCCACAGATTGGCAGAGGGCTCCTGATAAGGACCCGGTAGCGTTGTTTGTATTCACCACGGGGGCCTATTGATCTCAGAGCCTCTGGTTCATTTCATAGAATACAAGGCAAATGGTGTTAGTGCAGGAGTATGACTCCCTATTCACCAGACGCACGGGGCCCTGTGCCAAGTCGTCTCACCCCTGTGAACAGAAAACACACGGCAGGAAGGCAGGTCAGTCGTCTTTAAAGAAGTGGGTGACAGTTTGAGCTTTTCATTTTGCAGCAAGTATCAGAGACAAGACCCATTTCCTGTGCTCTAAACTGAGCAGGTCACAACCAACGTTTCGTAAGAAGCAATCCCCCCTATTATTATCTGACAGCGATCCTTGCCAGAAACTGTGTAGCCTGTGGTTCACATCTACTTTCAGTCATGAAGTTCTTGTCTATGCAACATAGATGCTGCTGTTTCTAGGTTTCCTCTGAGTGACAGAGTTTATCAGCACAAAAGTTTCACTCTTCCTTTACTGGTATGAAACAGAGACTCTATTTTTTTTCATGATTTACTCTCAACGGGTCTCAAATCTGTGTGTGAACTATTCGCAGAAGAAAATTCACATGTAATCCAACATTCGTCAATAGTTAAGAAGCTACGGTTTGTTTGTCCTATACATGCTTCTGACTGCTCATAGAGTTTGTTTAAATAAATGCATGTGAATATTGTTTGTTATTATCAGAAATTACTACCCTATTGTCTGGACTATAAGTCACTCTGGAATATAAGTCACACCAGCCAAAAAATGCATAATGAAGTAGAAAAAACATTTACCAGTAAAATTCGCGTTTTTTGGGGTGGAATTTATTTTACAAAACCCAAGACCAAATTATATATAAAATTATATATTTTAATTTATATAAATCGCACCTGAGTATAAAGTTGCAAACCCAGCCAAACTGTGAAACCCAGAAAATACGGTATGTACATTTTTGCTGTGGTCTCTTATGGCCAAAAGGCTTGCTCTGAAACAACCTTGTGTTTTTTAATGGGAATCAGATTGCTCATACCCAACCAGCAAAAAGACATTGAAAAGACATCGTCACCATATATCGAAACAACATCTAGATTCAGACCATCTAAATGAAGCCCACTCTTCAACGTCTTTTTTTTTTTTTGCCAAATTAGGAGCGAATCGGACCGTATAAATGAAGCCCACTTTTCAACATCTTTTTTGGGGCTAAATTACGGCCATGACGGGCTGACATGATTTAGCCCAAAAAAAGACGAAAAGTGGGCTTCATTTATACGGTCTGAATCGATCCTGAATTGGCGCCAAAAAGATGTTAAAAAATGGGCTTAGTTAAGATGGTTTATTTAGATGGTCCGAATCCAGACATTGTTTAGACATATGGTGAAGAGGTCTTTTCAACGTCTTTTTGTTGGGTGAGTATCTGATACATTCCAGGATTAAATCAAATCACTTTTTGCTGCCCCTGCACTCTGTCTTGTACTACCCTTGATGGTACCTGGGATTTCATTATGGCAGTTTTTCCTCCATACACCCAAGCCTGCTGATTGGTAATTGGTCAAAACTACCAGAAAATTGAGACTCTAGAATACAAATTTTACACTTTCTCATAGAATCTATGAGTGAAGATGATCCCAGCCTGTGGTGACCCACTCTGACAAGTCTAACCGCACCTAAGTCTAAAGCAGAGATAAAATTACAGCCCCTCTAAGAGTCACATTCATATTAACATACCGAGCACTTCTTCATTTTCAAATGTCTCCCAAGTTTTTTCAAAACCAAATTTATGAAAAGCTTAATATCAGCATGAGGACACTCTTATTTTATTATCAGTGGATGATATTATTAGAAAACCATTTCAAATGATATGTCACATGGGAACAAATATCATTTACAAAACACTAATGACTTGCAAACACTCCTCTAGCCTCCGGTGCAGAATGACGCCTTCTCACAGTGTGTGCTCTGCTCGCCTCTCTACGGGAAGGTGCAGTCAGACGCCGCATGCTTTATCGAATACAGAATAAACAGGAAGACCTCCGTTTCTTTCTTTCTTTTTTTTTTTTTTTTTTTGGCATTGACCAGAGTGGCAACAACACATTAATTCTTAAAAAAGCAGCCCATTTAAACCTGTCATTACCACAGCCTTCTAATGGTTTTAAGGTGTGTTTGTTGCAAAAATTCAAATGAGCCACTAAAATATGTACATATTCTCTGCAGAGATGGATTAGGTTTGGGATATCAATAATTAAGAAGGCATTATTATTATTACCCATTGCATCTTCTAGGTGGATCAAACTCAACTCACTGCTGAACTGCTAATAATGAGCCATCAATAAAACATTGTCATAATGCCAGAAAGACAAGTGTGCATATGTACAGTCTAATTTTACACAGGCTGGCTTGGTCATTAGTTCACCACAGCGTGAATACTCCACAATGCAAAACACCCAAGATGTAGCAGAGGTGGCCTGATGTATCCTGACAGTCAGTGCATCATACAGCTTCTTCATTAATGTTAATCACCTTGAAATTGTGACTAACCAAATCAGTGTATGCATATATTTGAAGCATTTTATTCTTTATTGAAAATTCTGCTGTTGTTGATATTTTCTGTGTTTTTTATTCAGTTTGTTTCTATGATTTGCACGTTTGTTAATCATACCAGCCACTGTGTTGCGAACCTTTCACCTCAGACTGACTTGCATGGACGCTGATAAATGGTCATCTCTGCTTGAACAGATCGAATTACATCAATTGACGAAAGCAAGTAAAACACGCAAAACTTTGTTAAAAGTTTCCTCTTACAAGTCAGGAATCCTGCAGACTGTTCAGCCGCCTTCTACCTCCCCAAATTTTACAGAGCTGTAATGAGAACTAAGAAAAGCAAAGACCAGAGGGAGAGCGCTGTCTTTATTGCCACCCAGACATAATAACTTAATGCAAATTGTAACTAGTTAAGCACAGCAAAATGATATGATACTATTGTCTGCGGCAGATTGATATCATAATGTTATCACTTGCGAGTAATCACATTTTCTCCCAGATACAATTACATTATTTGTTATGGTTGTATCATACACCAATAAAAGCAAACATCATATTAGAATTCATGGCACTTTTTGCTTTGTGTTATCAATATGTGGAAATAATTGTCTTCTGAGAGGTTAAATTACATTATTGTGTATCTTTTTCATGCCTAATAAATAATGATGGATGGCTCTTATTTTCATCACCACCTGCAACCATTTTGTCTTCTTCTCCCTGCAAGTTAAAAATGAGCGAATAAATAAAGAAATAAAAGGCGATAGTTAAGAACCTAGAGCAATACGAACCCTTGTCGCTGCAGTTTCAGCGTCTGATAAAGCTGGAGCAACTGCAAATACAGGCCAGATAGACGCATTTAAGGTCAACACACTAGTGTTTATTCATTGAAACATCCTCTGGCGAGCGAACAGGAAGAGATAAGGAGTAACTGATTGACAAGGAAAAAGCCTAGAGGGGTTTTTTAATGTACATCACAACTATCAAATATTCTTCCTTTCAACTGGAGCACATTTAAAGCAGAGGATGCAAGTCGAAACTTTCTAGATATACCACACAAGTGCATGTTTTGGCTTCTTTTTCCTGTACTATAAATGTAGGATTATATATAGTGTGTATATCTATCTATATATATATATATATATATATATATATATAAATAAGAGGAGTTTTTTTATACAGCTAACTTTATTTATAAGGCCTGGAAATAGAGAAAAAATGTGTTGTACATTTGATTTGAGTTTATGTAGCTTACAGATGTAGATATAATTGAATGTATACTTGTATGTTTTTCCTTTTCCTCTATTTTCACAGTTTATATACTTTGCAACGCTGTCTGCTGATATTATTTAGTGTCTTATAAACCCATGTGGGTTAGGTACTTTGTGTGCGTGACCCTTAAATAAATAAATTAACTAACTTAACTACTGTCTGTACGATCATTTTATCTTTACAGTCATGACTAATGCTCTTAATGTAAAGTATAATAATCATAACAATTATATAATAATGATAATAATAAGCTTTTAATTATAAGAGCTTATTTCTGTAGATAAATCATTGTTTTTCAATCAGCTCATAGGAATCAGGCCGAGACAAGGGTGAAAGGGTGTATGTGAAGAGAAGCCTAGCAACAGTATACTTGGAAGAAAACCAAACTAAGAAGGAGAATCACAATGCCTCCATATCCCAGCATGCCTTGTTATAATTCACAAATTGGTTAGAAGTTCCATTCATTGGAGGACACCTGAGGAAAGCTGCAGGTGTTCCCTCCTGAAAAAATCCCTCGTTTCCAACTTCTCCTTGCCCTTTCATAGCCAGAAGTGCCTTGTGGAGCGCTCTGTATCTCTGGCTTTCACATCAGGCTTCATTTCAGAAGGACTATCAAGCCCCCTCTCTGTCAGCGAGCAAACTCCTGCTGCGTTTTTTTCTTCCTTCACCACAGAGAAATCATCAGCATCAATGAAAGAATCAGTTCATACGACCACTCTGACTCAAGCAACGGTCCAACAATGCTTTACTCTGTGTTGTGTCAGGCTAAATTACTGTAACTGTCTCCATCATCTGAGAGACCAGCGTCTCTGCTGTAAACTGTGATTCTGCTTAATCAAACTATCAGTTTAATAAAAATGTTCACAATTTTTATTTTCCTCCTTCCTCCTTCCTTCTTTTTGGACACTAATGTAATGCAGTTCATGTAATAGAGAAAGTGGCTGGATTAAGCCCCCTCAGAGGGTTTTTTTGAAACCCTCCATTGTGTTATTGTTTATGTGTATGTTCATCTGTATTATTTGTATTAATGTGAACCAAAACTCTTGACTAAACAAAACCAAAAAAAAACAAATAAAAACTAAACTAAACTAAACTAAACCAAACTAAACTAAACTAAACTAAATTTGTTGAATGGCTGGCTTTCTGGGTGATCTGTTTCTGGTTATTTTGCTTTATCCTGTGGAGTAAACTTTGTCAGTTGCTTTATGCACTCCTTACACTCAATCTGTTATTTTGCGCCACATATGAGGTATAAGGGTTGCACTTGTGATTACTTTGAATGTACTTTTTTACAAAATTATTGGTGCTTATTATTATTATTATTATTATCATTATTATTATTATTATTATTATTATTGTTGTTGTTGTTGTTGTTGTTGTATATTATTATCATACCTACATGCTACCTAAAAGAGAGAGAAAAGAGTTATGACCACAGATTGTAAACTAATAGCGGATTCATTATGGGGACTTTAAGGCTAATTTCACAAATGCAAAAATCATTGATCATTTTGAACTGCTCTTCAGGATGTAATATTGAAATGTGACTCTTTGAGGTTTATACAGCTTGAGTGTATTTCTTCCTTAATGACCCTCAAATTTTACATCTAATATTTAAGTTGAGTATATATATATATATACGTATATATATATATATATATGAAATGAATAACCCTGAAATGTGGAAATAAAATCAAAATCCCCATGTTTTATTTTTCTTGCTGACATAAAATAAAGCTTATCAAATTGTGCCTTGTGCAGTTTTTTTAACTCCTGACAAATGTCTCAGGTTCACCTTTTTTACATTGTGCAAGAGCAGCCAGTTGTGTGGATTTTTGCTGTAACTTTTCTGTTTTCTTTTGCATCCCCATGATTTTAGTCATTTATTTCCACTATAGCAGTTAAACCTATATGACTGACTTGATCTGCACAATTGAGAAGATTTCAGGTTTCTCTCTTTTTTTCCCCAGCGCAATCTTTCATGTCAACACCTGAAACTCTTGTTGCATGTCCTGCATTTGTTGTCTTAGTATTGTGCAGCGATAAAAAAAAGGTAGGGACATTGAAGTCCCCCACCAGTTAATTGGCATCAGAGAAACCAATTCTGTTATAACTTCACAACGTCTTAAGTCATGCCTTGTGCTCAGCTAGACGTAGAGAGTTATAAAATTTACATTTTAATGAAATATTTGAATAAGTACTTGATATTCACTCTACCAGGTCTCCCGGTTCTTAAACCAACATTTCATGTTTGTGTTTTGAATGGCAGCGTCAGAAAAATTAACATGCCGTTCATAAAGATTAAAAGGGAATCAGTGTAAAGTCACAGGCTTCCTCATTCAAGGCTCACTGCAGTTTAACACTAACCATGACATGTTTTTATGATGGAGTTTATTTTTTATCCTCAAAGTAAGGAGGGGAGAAGGTTTAGATTAACAGGGTAGGGGAAGAAAACCCACTCAGGACACCAACGTTTCTATGGAAGTAAATAGGGATTCACACTGTTGGCAGTCATTTCAATAAATACTCTATTTTTCTGACCACATCTACAACCAAACAAAAGGTAAAAAATTAGATTTTGACATACATGGGGCTTTTCTTGTCCATTTGAAATGAAGTTCATGAAATTTCTGCAGTATTGAAATATGTGTAGTGTAGTTATAAATAAACAATGACAGCTTTTAATTTTGCCCTAAGAATATGGTGAAAACAAAACCCATGACATGACCTGTTTCAAAGTTAAAAGAGTTACATTTTGGAAACCTGACTTTCAAGACAGCACTCATCAAAAGGGACGACGTGATCATTTATCAAACATACACATTAAATGAAGTTGTACCCTGTTCATCTCTTCATTGCACATTTTTCTAATACTTGCTTTATCAAAGCCTGCAGCTGCTACTTTTCAGCTGATTCGCTGACACACAGAACTTCAGAGTAAAACCTATACTAATTTTATT